AGAGTCCCTATTTTGTGGGGGGAGGGGGGGGGGGGGGGGATCAGATAGCTAGGACCCTTTTTTATGGTCCACCAATGATGTACCTAAAGGCCAAATTATTCTGTTGAAAAGTATGTATTATTTTAACTGTAAAACTGTTAAAATAATCACTGTAGGAGGACGAGCTGTCACAATGAAGTTGTAAAATTTGTTACACAGAAAAGCAGAAATAAGCTATTTTTATCATATATTATGTATGCGTGTTAACATGTTAACATGCTTATTGTTTAGATATTCTACTTAACTATACTACTCAGCCAAACACTGTAACCTTTTATTTATTTAAAAAAAGGAGGGACAAGTGGAAATTATAAGAAATGGTTGGAACCCTCAAACTAGTGGAGACACTCCTTAAATGCTTGCTTAAGTAACTCCCAGTTGCTAATGTCATGCTTCTGCTTGGAGAAAATGGTGTGCTGATGGGTGTTGAGGTGAATGCCTTCTTTAGTTGCTGGAAAGCTTGAGCCACTTCAGATGGTGAGGGCAATTCCCTAAAGGCCAAATTATTCTGTTGAAAAGTATGTATTATTTTAACTGTAAAACTGTTAAAATAATCACTGTAGGAGGACGAGCTGTCACAATGAAGTTGTAAAATTTGTTACACAGAAAAGCAGAAATAAGCTATTTTTATCATATATTATGTATGCATGTTAACATGTTAACATGCTTATTGTTTAGATATTCTACTTAACTATACTACTCAGCCAAACACTGTAACCTTTTATTTATTTAAAAAAAGGAGGGACAAGTGGAAATTATCTTTGTAGTAATCAACATTACGAAACAAATATTATCAATTGAGTTTAATTTGTATTGAACCCAGAATATTCCTTTAAGATGACATTTACAAAGAAGTTGGTGCTGACATTTGTTGTTCTTATACAATGGAACTGCCACTTATAATAAAGAAGACTCATATTTTTACACTATTTTCTGTTGTTCTTTTCTTTTGTTTTCTACAACAGGAGCAATATGTTTACCTCCACCAGTGTGCGCATAACATAATTCGATCAAGAACGGGAACCAACATGGACTTAATTTACCAGAATGCAGTAAAGCTCAGTATCTATCAGAATGTAAAATATCAAACAATTTAAATGTAGATGGCCTCAAGATAGCCCTTGTCCAACAATCAGAGAAATTTAAGACTGCATAAAGCACATTTTAAGTTTCACATATACATATGTCCTTTATATAAAGTTGGATGCTTTTATTTCTTGTACAGTACTCCAAACGTTTGAGTAATATTTTAATTTTAACGAATACATTTAAAAGATTACACTGAGAAAATGCCATTTTCTATGATAACAATTTAAAATAAACAGAAATAAATTGTATTTATGATAATTCAATTAAGAGGTCTTTAATTCAAAATGTCCAAAAGAGATATTTGTATAATTTGACATGATATATTTACTGCAGTATCACAAATCTGTATATTTTACTACTGATATAATTGTATATGGAATCCCAACTTTTATAACATGTTTATATTTTCAAAGTTATTTAGAAGAATATTGTCACACACACACTGTTTGGACTGTTTTCATTCTTTGCACCATTTCCCTTATGCCGAGTTCACACTGCACGATTTTAGCTGACAGGTTTTGTGAAATCGCCGACAAATGCCCGAAATCGGAGGCAAATTGGAATGACAATTACACAGTGTGAATTATCAAAGACACGATCTGAGGGAATCGCCGACATGTCGCCGATGCCTGTGAAATATTTGGCATGCTAAATATCTTGAGCTGTCGGCGATTCACAATCACGCTGTGTGAAATTAGTTCTGACTGAAAGACACATCGGCGATGACCTACAGCCAATGAGAGACCAAGATACAGGGCAGCGGGAAGTTCGGGGAGGAATTATATGAAACGTAGTTTGCGGACCAATGTTGGCAAATCCACGATTGCCGCCGGTTGTTTTTTATGTCAGCAGGTTGAAGCGACCCCAATAACGTGATATTTAGGCCCTGGAATGTGAATTGTACCAGGAGAACCCCGCCAAAAAAAATTGTATTTGACCCCGTACGCGATTTTTACTGGGGGACCCCCTCGAAAGCAATTGGGCTATTTTCAGGCTAGTTTTGAGTAGTTAGGCGGGTTTTGTAGCGAAAACCTGGCAACCCTGCACCAGACAGAGCTGTCAGCGATTCTTCCTATTGTGAAGTCATGCAATGTGAAACCCCCTGTCGCCAATCCATCGTGCAATGCGAACACAGCAGCAACTGAATGCTACCCCAGATAG